CGTCCCGGGTGCGGCCCCGCCCCGCCGGCTCCCCATTGGCCGCCGCGCCGCCCTCCCCCTCCGCCCCATTGGTCGCAGGCGGGACCGGCTACATTCGGCGGACGGAGGGCGGTGGTGCCGCCGGTTGCCGTGGCGACGCGGCGCGGCGGGACTCGATCCGGCGCAGCGCTCTCCCGGCCCGGCGGGCTCCCGTTCGCTCCCCTCCGGAGACGAGCGACCCCCGCTGGATCACAGGCCCGGGTGCGGGTGTCGGCGGGTGTCTCAGCCCCAGGCGACCCCGTGCCGGGGTTACCGGAGCCGGGCGCCGCGGCCAGGCCGGGCGTCGGTGCCCGGTCCCGCACGGCGCTGCCCGGGCTCGGGTCAGCGGGCAGGGAACAGCCCCAGCGCGGCCCCGCTCCTGGGGAGGGAGAGCTGGGCTGGGCTGCGGGAGGCTCCCAGCCCTCGCCCTTCGCTCCAGCCCTGCAGGCAGCAGGCGGTGCCCATTCATTAGCTAATTAACGTTTTAACGCAAGCGCAACGTCAACGCTAAGTAACGGGAGCAGGCAGTATCCGCGGGGCGCCCGCTGCCAGCGCCGGCCTCTGCACGGAGAACCGGCAGGCAGCTCCCGCTGCTCTGCGGGTGAAAACACGGCTCGTAACCGGGCTCCAGCCCCCAGCGCGCCCCAGAGCTCTCACCCCCCGGCCACGGGCTAAGAAAACCCCTCGGCTTGGCTTCGTTTGAGTCACACACCACCCAAGTGAGAGCAAGCCCACCCCTGCCCCAGCACCCCCAGCACTGCGTGGCCCTGGTGCCCAGGACGGATTTACACCCTCCCGAGAGGGGCAGGTGAAGGCAAAGCTCCCCCCCCGCCCCTTCCAGCACACACTGCAAAAACCCGACACACCACACTGTAGAGATATAGATATATTTGTGGTGATGTTGCATATTTAAGACAACTTTACATAATGCTTCCAACACAGTTTTGGCATCCTCCCCTGCAGCGGGGCCAGCCCCTCTCACCCCATGTCCCTCCACAGCCCCGGAGCACCCCCCGAGGGAGCGGACACAGGAGAGGTGGGCAGGGGTGCCGGCAGGTACCTGCCCTTGCACACCAAGGTCTCCATCCCCTCCATTTTACAACATGCCTCTCACAGCACCAGCATCCTTGAGATGGGGAGCACAAGGCCTGCCAGGCGGGGAAGCCCGGGGCTTCGGAGGAAGGCGAAGGATGGCACAGATCTTTGGAGATGGCAAAACCCTGACCAGCCAAGGCTGTGAGCCACTGGCTCCTGCTGACCCTGCCTGGAGCAGAGGGGTTGGGGCAGACAGTCTCCAGATCGACCCCAGCAGCTCCCCTGCCCCAGCCCTGCGCAGGGACAATACCCCTTCCCTGGCTGCAGGCAAGAAGGGAAGCATTCTCCCAGGCTGAAAACCAAACCCAGACTTAAAACCAAACCCAGACTTCTCCACACAGCATCGGTCTTGGAGAAAGGAACGTCGCAGGCAGTCCCCAAGCCTGGGAGGACGGCAGGGAAGGGGGATGCTCTGCTGCATCCCTTCCCCGGAGGAGACGGCGTCTCTTCCCTGCGGAGGAGGTGGAAGCAGAAACAACGGAGAGCGGATGGAGCCGGCTGGACCTCGTCTTGCCTCTTTGCTTTTTGGCCAAGGAAGCACAGCAGATCCCGAGAGCTCCTGCCGACCCGGGAGAAAAGAAAAGGTTGGGCCAAGGGGCCGTGGCACAGGGCAGCCCTCCGGGCACAGGAAGCTGATCTCTCATCCGCAGCAGGACGTCAGCCCTGTGGATGGCATTTTGGCAGGGGACTGGGGCGTCCCTTTGCTGAAGCGGAGGCGGCAGGGTCTACAGCAGCTTGTTGGGACTTGAACCATGAACCGAGCGCTCCCCCGCTTGCTGTTGCACAACACA